ACTCAATGGCAGTGAACACACACAGAGACACACACAGACATACACACAAACACACATACACAGACACATACACACACATACACAGATGCGCACACACAGACACACACAGACACACAGAGACGCACACACAGACATACACACAGACACACAGAGACACACACCCAGATACACACACTGCAGAAAGGCAGCTTTGCTCAGTGTCTGAGGTGACCCCTCTTCTCCCCCCATAAGAAAGCAGCAAACTTTGTGTATTGGGCTTTCTCAGGATGGACACTGGATTATTTTTGCTCCTGACCCATTTCTTCCACTGCCTTTCTCCTGGGATGTGCTCTTGGCGTAACTGCTCAGGCCTCTAGTGGGGGTAGAATTCAATAGCATAAGGTTCCAGATTCTTCCCTCTGACTTGAAAAAGGAGAATCATTTTCCTCATGTAATTTCAGGAAAGCATTTAGGGCCTGCTGACTAGCTGTGGAGGCTGCGAGCAGAAACGTCGGTCTCTGCTCGGGGAGAACAGAGAGCTGGTGACAAGCCCCAGGGCCCCACACTGTGGTGCTTCATATTAATTATACGTGGTGGCACGTTTGCCACTCTTCCTTCCCCACCTACCTGATGTTATTTTCACTTGCAGCCACTTTTTCAGGCATCCTTGATGAACAAACCGCAGGCTTCCCACACAGCCGCAAGGCTCCAGAAGAGGGTTGGTGGGGGATCCCCCGGCTATCTGGCAGATGCGACATAAGTCTCCTTCCTCCTCTGAGTCCTCCTCCAGGAGACTAAACAGAAAACAAACTCTCGTGACCAGGCATAGAGAGTTTGCAGTTTCCACAAATATCCATGCCCAAGGTGTTCGTGAGGGAGAGATGAGAGAACAGTCCCTACTCTTCTGACCATCAGTGCTCCTGGCACTGCGGCCTCTGACCCCATCCATAACAACCCCCAAACCTACTGCTGTTGCGTTAATCCTGACCAAGTTTGGGTTTTCAAAGCTGTAAATCTTTAGGGAAGCAGACAGCCACATCTTTCTTCCCTGGAGAAGTTGGTGGGTTCAAACTGCTGACCTTTTGGTTAGCAGAGGAGCATTTTAACCAGGGCCCCTGTTATTGAGAACAGATACAGCAATTCTTACATCAGGTTCCTCTGTTCCTTACTGATACTTGAGACCTGACATGTGATGATCACCCATGAGGGATGGGAAAGGGTTACGCAGGGAAGCAGGAAAGACTGGAGACATTCTTCCTGCCATAGCTACTATAAGAGTTGAAGACATGAGATTTGTGGGCAGGGGTCCTGGGCTTGAGGATTTCCCCTGAAACTTATGAGTTGTGTGACCTTGAGGACAGGTTACTTAAACTTATGTAGAATGAGTTAATACTACACTTTCCTCATCTGTAAAACCGAGGTCATGGGATAATCTACTTCTACCATCTTCATAGGGTTGTGAGCAGACTAGAGGCACTGGTGATGGGGAGCCTGTTCTGCAAACTGTAATGAGCATCCAATGTCTCCTAAAATATTTACATGTTAAAATGAAACAAAAGCCCAAACCAGTTGCCACTAAGTCAGTTCTGACTCAAGGCATCCCACCTGTGTCAGAGAAGAACTGTGCTCCACAGGGCTTTCAGTGGCTAGTGTTTGGGAACTAGATCGTTGGCCCTTACTTCCAAAGTGCCTCTGGGAGGCCTTGAACCTTTTGCTTAGCACCTGTTTGCAACACAGTGGCCATGAAATATCTGTTGGTTTGGATGACTGATAAACCAATGAGCCTGGATATGTGCTCATCATCAAAGGTACACACTTGCCAACAAATTATGCCAGCATTCCAGAATGTTAACTGCTGAAATCTGATAAAGATAGATTTAATGAAAATGTAAGCAAATATATTTGTGTCTAATCAGTGATGAGTGATGAATAGCTGGCTGATGTTTCTGTAAAGAGCTTTAGAAGCTTTTGACAAGGTTATATACAAAAGCTTTTTTTTTTAGAATCTATTGGGACTGGGGACTTCCTGGTCTAGAAAAAGGAAGACTGTAGAAGAATTGATGCATTTAGTTATGGTGTTAGAGGAGAATATTGAAAGTGCCATGGGCTGCCAAAAGAACCAATAGATCCGTTTTGGAAGAAGTGCAGCCACAGTGCTCCTTGGAGGCCAAAATGGCCAAACTTCATCTCTCATACTTCGGACATATAGTCAGGAGGGACCAGTTGCTGGAGAAGGATATCATGTTTGGTAAGGTGGAGGGTCAGATAAAAAGAGGAAGACCCCCAACGAGATGGATTGGCCAAGTTGCAGCATTGATGGACTCAAGCGTGACAACAGTAGTGAGGTTGGCCCAGGATTGGGCAGTGTTTCGTTCTGCTGTGCATAAGGTCGCTATGAGTTGGTACTAACTTGATGGCACCTAACAACAACGACAATCAAACTGTAGTTATTAAGATGGTGTGTGTCTGTTTTTAGAAGGTCCAAGACAGAGCCACAGAATGTGTGGAACAAAATTCAAAATTACTACAAAAAACAAAACAAAACAGGACTTACTGGTCAGAAAGAGACTAGAGAAACCTGAGACTATGGCCCTCAACCACCCTTCAGGCCTAGAAAAGAACTCACCCTTGTGGCTCAACTTTCAGCCAAGCAGTAAATAGGTATATAGGTGGGACAACAGCATTAGTGAGGTATACTGACTACGAATGATGGAACAGACAATCATTTACAACCAAAGGGGCAACATGTACCAAAGGACAAAGGTGGAAAAGGATGGGAAGGTGGGTGGAATGGAAATAGGATCTCCAGGAAGGAAGCAGGATAGTTGTTGTTCCATGGAGGGGACCGCAATCATTGAGATCAAACAAAGTGTGTGATTTGTTGAATATAAAAACTGATGATCTTCTCTGTAAACCTTCACCCAATTACCAATAAAAAGTTAAAAAAAAAAAAAAAAAAAGATGGTGTGGTATTAGATTAGAGAAAGACCAAAAGACGAATGGAATAAAATAGAGAGCCCTAAACAGATCTATACATTTCCAGGTATATTCCCTATGGCAGAGGTGGTCCTGCAGAACAGCAGAGAAAGCCCCTGGGGTATTCATAAGCGGGTAAATACATCTTATCTCACACCCCATTATAAAAATCACTTCCCATATAAGTCCAAAATCTTCTTCATATTAAGTATAAAATGTGCAACATAAAACTGGAGATTTTAGAAGAAAATATGAAGAATTATTTTGATTACCTGAGGTCAGGATAGGATTTCTTAATCAAGAGAATATACAAATCACAATCTATAAAAAATAAGATTGATACATTTGACTACATTAAACTTAAGAATTTATTTTCATCAAAAGATATCTCAAAGAAAGAAAAGACAAAGTACAAATCGGGATGAATATTTTTAACACATAACCGTCAAAGAATTAGATTGCTGGCTAGAAGATATGCAAGACTCCTAAAATCAAAAAGAAGAAATATTGTAAAAGAACAATTGGCCAATAATATAAAATATTTCATAGAAGAAGAAACATAAATGATCATTGGACATTTAAAAGATGTTTATCCTCATTAATACTTTTGAAAACATACACAAAAGTCATAATAAAATATCATTTTACTCCTATCAGATTGGCAAAAAATTTTTGAAGAGCTTATCAATACACCAACTCCTCATTTATTGATGATCTCATTATCCAACATTTTGCTATCTGAGTATTTTGCAGATTGGTAGATATACATCTGAAATGAAAGCCGAAACGCCAGGTAAGAATACCACTGGCTACGATGGTTCAGCTGCTGTGTCAAGGTGGCAGTTATGTAATGATGCAGTCATCCTCCATTTTGTCATCTGATGTGGTTATCCTACATTTTCACACAATGGCAATTTTTGCATAACCACCTGGTTGTTGGAGTCAAACCATGCTGGTAAGTGATGTGCGGCATGTGTTGGTAAGGAGTACAGTATTACCCATTACTAATGGGACAGTAAATTGGCATGTGCTATACACCAGTGTGTGGCACTGTGGGTTAATGTGTTAGACTGCAAAGCCATTTGAACTGCAAGGTCGGCAGTTCAAGCTCACCAGCTGATCCTCAGAAACCCTATACAGGATCACTATGGGTCAGAACTGACTCGATGGCACTTCAAAATAACAACAACATACACCAGCCCAGCAATTCCAGTTCTGGAAAATCTTCCATAGAACTCTTGCTCATGTGCACCAGGAGACATTTACAAGAATGTTTGTGCAATGCTGTTTGTAGAAAATTGTAAACAAACCAAATGATCATCAAGAGAATGGCTGAACTGTAGTTCACCATAGTCACACCGTGGCAATATTGTGGGTTTGCTTCTAGACCACGCAACAAAGTGAGTATCACAATAAAGCAAGTCATATGAAGTTTTGCATTGCCCAGTGCATATAAAAGTTATAGTTCTGCTATACCGCAGTCTTCCAAATGTGCAATGGCATTATGAAAAAAAGTTTAAAATATTGTGAGAATTATCAAAAGGTGACACAGGGACACAAAGTGAGCACATGCTGTTAGGAAAATGGTGCTGATAGACTCGCTTGATGCAGGATTGCCACGAACCTTCAATTTGTAAAAACTACAATGTCTGCAAAGCACGATAAAGCACCGTGAAAGAAAACAAGGTATACCTGTATTCATACACAGAAGACTTTGCAGTGGTACAAGTGAATCAAAGCCAAAGATATCAACAAGGATGCATCTCACTAACAATGTAAGGGCAAAAGCAAATCACAGAAGACTGGAGAGGTGTGATTCTATTGATCAGACTTAGATACATAAAACTACACAATACATAAATAGTGCACATGTTATATATTTGTTCCAACTGTGCAACCCCCTTGCTATTTTTGAAAGTGTTGTGTGGCTGCGTGCTGTATGTGTGAGTGAATTATTTGTAGAAAAATAACAGCATATGTGGCAAAACCATAAGGCAAAAAAACCCAAAACACAACACAACAAAAACCCCAGAGAAATGATAACTGAAACATAGGTATGACCTCCTGCAGGCAGGGTCGGGGGAGGGAGGCTGCTGAGTGAGGAATGAGTGGGTGAGGGAGTCATGAGGCCTCCAGTGTGCCAGAATTGTTTTATTAAGCTAGAGCGTGACCACAGAAGAGTCTGGTTTTTCTTTTTTGTTTTCTTTAAAGTGCACATAGAGAAGCTAGGGCAAGATGGCCGAGTAGGCAGATGCACTCTGCTGACCCTTTGCGGCAGATATGGGAGATCGATTAAAACAAATACAGGTGGTGAAATGGTCCCCAAAGTAGCAGATAGTGCCCATTGGACCTAGCTTCAATGGCTGGAAGTTCAGAACCTGATTAGAGGAAGGAAAAGAGGGGGGGAAATTTTTTTTTTTTTTTTTAAAGAAAACAAAAATCACTACAATCTGATGAACATGACCTGTACTTATGGATGTAGTAGCTTAAAATACCAGCCAAGAGGGAAATAATCTTTACAGCAAGGATCATTCCCATTCTCTCTGTACAAAGGGTTGATAGGGATGGGCAACTTAGACATTG